TCAGATCTAGACCGTGTTTTTTTTTTTTTTTTTTTATTGAAATGGGGAGAACATTGAAGAAAAACAGCCAGAAAGATGGCTGGATCCTTGTTTCACTGAGCAAAGCGGACCTCTGCTCTCCAGCAGGACCCTCAGAGAATGGTTTGATCCAATATGGAGCAGAAAGCCTTTTAGCACTAAATGAATAAACCAAACACACATTCAGAGCCGGCCGGTCTGCATCTGGACGGAAAAACTTCTCATTCTTATACATGCCTCCAATTAAAAAACCAACTGGTGATCTACAGTGGAGGATTTTACACGGCGTCATCGCCATAAACTGGTTTTTATTGGTTATTTATCAAGGTTTTTTAAACACCTTTCTGAGGCCCGTCTGAAAACGTGTTTTTATGGAACGAATAAGACTAAAGACCATTTTTAGGCTTTTAATTAGTGTTTTTAGTCTTTTTGGGATGGTTTTTATAAATGCTCTATTTATAGAAGTTTGCCAGAATAGAAGAAATTAGCCAAAGGCCGACTTTTAAATGTTTTAATGATGAAGCAAAGATGGCCGTTAACCTGTCCTGCAGAGACAGACTGCAGGACGGAGCTCACCTTGATGCTGTGGCTCTGTGGAGGTTAAAGCCACAATAAGGCTGGAGTTTACCTTCCATTCAGAACATGGAGGATTTTATTCAGCTGTGGGGTTTTAACAACATCTGATGTTCTGTGTCAGATAAAGAACAATTACAATATAACAAGCTCCTCATTTCACGGTTTTTAGCCGACACTTGCTTTACATTAATAACTTATTCTATTTTAATTGTGTAAATAAAGCGTTATTATCCTTATATTTAGCCTTCATGTTGTTCCCGTCTCTTTCCAGCTGTCTTTAACTATTCATCTGGTTTATCCGTTAATTTGAATTTATAGAGACTATTGATGAATCTTTAGTTGCTTGAAAAATTCCTAAGCTTTTAAAGTTTAGTCAATATAGAGTGTAAAGTTCTTTATCAGAGCTCTGTGTGACGGAATAACTTAGAATATGTTGTAAGGAAGCTGATTGGGGTTGTTGGGAAGATGGATGCTTCTCTGTGTTTCAGCCTTTGACGGTTCTTACTGACTGTTTTTTTACCTTGTCTTTGTGTCGTGTTTTCAGGTTCTGGCGGCGTCTCAGCAGGCTGATGAGCAAACTGAACCCGGAGCCTAACCTGATCCACGTAATGGGCTGCTATGTGCTGGGAAGTGCTAATGGAGAAAAGGTTTGAAGCTTCCAGGACCGCCATTCATTGCAGACGCTTTGCTTTATCGGACAGCTAAATATGAGT